CAGTATTTCGGACCCGAGCTGGGGGTCCGGATCAGGGAGGGTGGAAGGCAGAGGGTGAAGGAAGGCATGGTTGAAGAGGAGGGTCTTCAGACGGGTCTTGAAGGAGGCAAGGGAAGGGTCGAGGCGGAGTGACTACAGGATGGAGTTCCAGAGGGTGGGGGCAGAGTGGCAGAAAGCCTGCCAATGATAGGGCAGGCGAAGCAGGGGTGTGAAGCAGGAGCCCCTGAGTGGAGAAAGTGGGCAGGGATTTAGTAGGTCGCAGATTTGGAGGGGAGCGAGGCCATGGAGGGCTTTCAAGGTGAGGAGCAGGATCTTGAACTGTAGCCTTTGTGTGATGGGAAGCCAGTGGAGTCAAGCGAGGATGGGGGTAATAGGATCACGGAGTCTGGTGCAGGAGGACACGGGCTGCAGAGTTTTAGATGATCAACTTTATACAGCAGTTAAGTGAAGTTTAATGTGCTGTAGTACAAGATACATTTAAATAGAGGATTTTTTTTTAGGGGAAGAGGCTACCTAACCATCTAATTAGCTAGCTAGTTAAGTAACTGTAATTCCTTATTTCCCCTCCATCTTTTCCTGCAACCAAGTTATTAATAATAGTAATAATGATCCTTCCATTTGATATTGCGCCTTATCACATTATCAAGACATCTCAAAAGCCTTCACCGAATATACCGTAACATGAATTGAATGTATATTTGGTGGTTAAAACGCAGCAGCCTGTGTCCCACAAACAGTCGTGGGTTGAGTGACCACATTTCTTTTTAAAGGGATTATCATCCACAGAAAGCGATCCGCCAATCGATTAACAACCGTGTTCCTGCTTACTGCTAGGTTAACAGACATGTGTGGAGTAAGAAAACTAGCCTAAGGTTTTATCCAGCCAAGGAATCGAACTTGGGTCTACTCGCTTACAAGGCAAGTGTTCTAACCACTACGGAACAGCACTCCACAGGAAATCACTCTAATTTGTAATCTGAAAGTCTCTATATTGATACTTTGAAGTTCAGGCAGCTATTTGCAAATGTGTGAGTCTTGACAATGATCCTGTCCACACTGCACATCTTCCTGCAGGAGTCACGAGATAGCAATCAGGAGTGGAAAGTCGAAGGGCGTTGTGGCCAGTCGAACCATTGCTACTTGCTGCCACAGCTGAGATAAGTTAACTCTACACAGGAAAAGGCAAATTCAAGTCTGTTTTAAAAAAAAGTTCAATGATTTATTCGCAAGATGAATAATCTGTCCAATAACCTAAACTAAGTGCAGCTGTGCTGCTGAAATATCCAGCTGGCAACACTGAATTTATATAAGCAGAGGAATTTTCCTTCTGAGTCCTGTGAACAGGTTTTCCCCCAAAACATAGTTGGAATACCTACAATACCAATACAAGACAGTAGGGCCCAATGCTTCATAGACGTCCTCCTGACACGAAAGGCAGTATTAATATTTTCACAAAGCTGCAAATTAGATGCAGTTTTACTGTAGCTTGCACCACAAGGGAGAGAAGTTCATCACATATGCAAATCAAACAAGAACAATGCACGAGTTAGCAGCTTCCTGCACCGTTGGCAAATTTTCTGTCACTTTACTATTGACTCTGATCCCATTCTCCTGCTCCCTATCCACATCCTTTAATATTCTTCTTTTTCAATATCTCATTTCCGATTTAAAATATTGATGAATTCTTGCCTTAACTACAATTTGTGGTAGATTTCCAAATTCTAACCAACTCTCTATCCAAAGGTTTATTTTTCTGACCTCCTATTGACTAGGCTCTGTGGTTATCTTAAATTTGTCTCCTCTTATTACTGGCTCCCCACTGGTGGAAGGAATCTAATACTTTTTTGGTCAAAGCAGAATTTAATTTTGACATTAAATTGTCATGTAGTTCTTCAACTTCAAGCCAATTATGAACAATAACATACTTACTAAGTGATTTTTTACAGAGTGAGCTAAATGACTAATATTTCATCAGAATTCCTGTTGTACAGAAAGATGTTTTTTTTTAAAAAGGTAACATTTGTATTTTATTACCCCACCCCCCCAATTGTGCTAGAGCGATCCAAGAATATTGTTTGATGATTACAAAATGATTTCTGCCTGCTGAAGGCTGGTAATTTCCAACCAGGGAGATATAAGAAACTAAGAGTAAAGAGGATATTACAAAATACTAATGCCAGGTCAGAAGATGTTGTATATTTGCCTAAGAAATGATTTACGTTGCAAAGAAATAAACACAAACATACACAAAAAAAATGAGGAATGATACTTTGGTGCACTATCACTCACGGGTTGCATTTTGAAACAGACAGAACAAAAAATCTATGTGGATCAAAATTGTGATTAATGAGTGGCCAATGCAAAAACTGCCATTACCACCACCTAAACTGACAGTACTTGTTTCACCAAAATTCCAATCTGACAGAAAAAAATACAGGAAATATTCAAAATAGCTGAAGCATACAACAATGAATTAATCTTTAGAATCCAGTGGACAGGTTAGCCCATTTAGTGCACTCAAGTTGTCAATACCATGGATGAGATATATTAATGTTAACCTGGTCATATCTATGAAGCATGAAAAGGATAGAAGGAAGTCAGACTGATCAGAAATAAATGTTTAAGTTACAAAAATAATGTTTTAAGTGTGTATGATTAATATTACAGTAATGAAGGTACTCTTGTAAGGCAACAATTTTAATGTTATAGCTTGCAGGATGAAGTTTTGGAAAATGGCATTCCCTGACGCTGCTGTCAGCCTATGGATTAAGGTGTACCTGTTTAGAAAATATCTATTTTAGGTACAAAAAGTTTGTATTTCTTCAGAACAGGCAATTTAATGCTTGTTAATATACAAATATCAGAATTTTGTAAAAAATGATTAGACTGCATCTGTAATCCATTGCATTTAGCACTCTACTACGTATAGCAACGATAACACTAACAATTTCCATTTACTTAACACCCTCGACTCGCTTAGGGTCTTGGAGCACTCAAGTGGAACAAATTGCACAATCATAATAATCACAAATCAATTAAAAAATGCAATCATAATAAGGACCTGTGCATTTCATTGTTTTTATTTAAAACAAAGTTTATGTTTCAGGTGAGTCACAGAATCAGGATCTTTTTCAAACCGCTTGATCTAATAATTAGATTCTGATTAACATTAACCTTTTAATTCTGCACAAATTCAGGATACGAATGTCCTGGGGACAACTCTCTACTCATCTGGGAATGCACTAAACTTGATCTGGGAATGAGTTTTATTCCCTGCTAGTTGATAAATCCGAGTCATCAGTTTGCCATTGATATAATTTCTGGCACTGAATGATTGGATAGTATGTGCTTAGCATTTTCCCATTTTAGGTACACACCACCAAGCTCTAAATTTACTATCCAGGGCAGAATAGTTCACATTCACCCACCATAGTAAGTACATTTATCACATGGATAATCTCATCCAACATAATAATAATAATCCTTGCATTTGATATAGTACCTTGTCACGTGATAAGAACATCCCAAAGCGCTTCACAGGATTTACTGTGAAATGGAGTAACTGTGTATTTGCAGGCAAGCATGTTTAAAAAGGATTACCAACAAATACACTGGTATTACAACGTGGTGTTTTGGGTCCATAAAATTGAACCGTGCATTACAATTGAAATAAAAAAAAGGATTCAGATCCCACTTCCGAGTCATCAGGTCACTATTGATATGACTTTTGACGGTAACTGGCAAGATTCGTGCACATGCCTGTTAGGAGTGAAAGCATACCACCTCTGGTCCACTACCCACACTATAACAAGTCACATTATAATGGGGTCGGACTAGCATTATTGTAAAAAGAAAGTACTGGTGTCATTTTTGGGTGCATTTACTTGGAAGCATTACTGAGCCTTGCAGCATAAGGAAGCTGCATCAAAAGGCTTTATTCCAAAGAATGGCATAACAAGCATTGCTTCAACTGAAACGATTAAAAAATTCACAGAACATAACAATTTAGTGAAACTCACAGAAGTCTTAATCAGTCGGGAGTATAACATTTAATATGACTTGCACAAAGTATGAATTACAAGCAAACTTGTCATATAAGTCATATAAAATCCAATTTAATCATTAATCTATTATATAATTACAACATTTGATAAAGCGCTTTATCACGTCTTCGAGACGTCTCAAAGTGCTTCACAGAATATACTGCAAAGTGAATTGACTGTATATTTTGTGGGTGAAATCTCCACTGTGCATGCATACTTCCATGCAGTGGTAAGTGCGCATGCGTCCACATGTCAGACTATTTCCCGCGATTCAATGCAACTGGTAGCATTACGAATTAGGAGACAATTTGCTTTATAAAATACAATTCGTGCAAAAAAATCTTAGGTAGGAAACTGAATGGGACTCTGGTGCATACGACAGGCGATAATACGATTTATAAAGATAAGACTTGAGCAAGTTTTATTAAATTAATTAGGTTGTCTCTGCTACTTGAGATTTTCAAGTCAAAGCCCAAGAAGATACGATTGTCCCAGCAGGACAAGTAGCACAACGTTTGCCAGTCAGCAAACACACATTCTGCAGTCCCAAAGCTTTGACTCTCGCCAACCTGTGCAGATACTCTCCAGGGTTAGGTGAGCAGGATGCGTCCCACCAAGGAGTGTGCATCTCAAAGGAATCGGAAAGGCAGGCACTAGTAACTGCTCTCACCAGTGAATAGTTTTCCAGTTATTGTGATATGAAGATTACCTCAAAGTGAACCCGGATATATTTACTGTCTACAACAAGTAACTAATGGCAGATTTGGTGAATAATAATCAGTGAAACAAACTAAAACAAAACAAAGATAAGCAAAAGTATTTTTAAAAAGTTAACATGCAGTACTTACATTACAAAGCATTTAATATTATAAATTAAGACTGACAATATTGTGAAACAGATTGTTCCAGGGTCATTTGATGTTTGTTACGAACCATAACATAGAACATGTATTGTACCTTTCTCTTTAAGGCGCTGAGTTTCTCCACCACTCCATCCAGCAAGGTCACTACAGAATCCACAGCTGGGCAGTTGCTCAAGGTTTTCTCTAGTTCTGCAACTACCATGGTCACATGACTTGTTTCTCGGTCAATATTTTTCTGAGCGGCTCGAAAGCGCTTGTTCAAAGTTTCATAAGGTACCTACAAACAAAGGTTAAAATTGTTTGGTTGCAAAATGCTGAAACAATCAATGATATTATTTGGATTCATATTTCTTTGGTTAAAAATGGTTCTCTCACTGAAAAACTGAATCTTTAAATGAAAGAATGTTTTTGTATTTTCACATAGGAAAATAAATCACTGACTATTTGTTTGGGAAGAGAAAGGCTGACTTTCTGAAATGTCAACAATTTCCAGAAAAACACTGACTCATCAATGATGTAACTAAAATGTTCTAATCCAACAGTTTATTTACAACAGTGAATGTCCAGCCAGGCTGCAAGAAAAAGCATCATATAGCAACTTGTCAATATTTGATTCAGACTAAAATAACCCATAAGCATGTTGCAGAGGAGAATAGATTTTAAAAGTCAACCTTTTCTAACACATTACTGTACTATTTAATCACAAACCACCTCAGGGGAGGGGGAGAGGAGAATACAAACCCGAAACATTGCTGCTTTGTTTAGACAAACCAATTAATTTAATAGGAATCTGACTCCCATTGCAGTGTAGGCCGCAGCATAAAATAGCAGAACATTAAATAGTAGTGTTTACGAAATAAGATACTCTCATTTGGTTTTATACTTCTGTAATGGGTCCCAACTTTACACGAATCATAGAAAGTTGACAACACAAAAAGAGGCCATTCTGCCCATCGCAGCTGCCCCACTGAAGCCTGTTACTGTCTTCCCATTCCCCTACTTTCTCTCCTCCCCCAATGTTCTTTTGAGCTTCTTCTCAGTATAATGACAGTCTGAACATTTTTGTTTACAATTTCCGGGTCGCTCACAAGGACCACAGTTGCTCTCAGTTTGCCGAACCTCACAAAGGGGGGAAAAAAAAACCTGACAAGTGAATGTGACATTTTGTATTGAACATTAATCGCAAGCAGCACCGTGGCATTCTCGCCATCCTCCCCCTCCCGAACAGCCACACACAGAATACATCGATTACCGTTTTACATAAAAGAGAGAAAACCAACCACCGCGCGGTTTGGTTTCACCTTGAATTCGGCACTGGGTGGGGGCGGTGACACAAACGATTTGCCTCGGAAAAATAGCTGCAAAAGAGGTTGAAACGGCCTCTTTTTTTTTTCCCCCCTCCCCTCAGTCAGCGACTAAAAAAGGTCGTGTTTTCACTCAAAAATAGCAGCCCTTCTTTCTGCTCAGAAAATGGGTGAAGCAGCCGAGGATGGGGGTGGGGGGTGGGGGGGGGGAGGGGGGGACACGGACAGGCGCGGCGGCCTCGGGGTTCACCAACAGCCGTACCTTCAGAGTGGGTATTCCTGCACCTTTAACGCCATCGAGAGCTGAGCAGCGGACTCCTGCACCGCCATCTTATCTCAACTATCAATACTCCGAGGCAACATGGGTAGACCAGACCGGACGTGAGGGCGACAGACAGACAAGACAGACAGAGACGGAGGGAGAGAGAGAGAGGGAGAGAGGAAGAGGATGTTTGCGAGAGTGAGAAAAAAAGCGTGAGAGAAAATCAGAGAAAAAAAGGGGGTGTGTGAGAGAGAGAGAGAGAGAGGAGAGGGAGTGTTAGTGAAAAAAAATGAGAGAGAAAGGGAGAATGTGTGTGTGTGTGTGTGTGTCAGAGAGGAGGGGAATCGGATGGGGTTTATTCAAAGGCAAAAAGTTTGTCCCCGTTCGTCAATCAACTTCGTCGAAGTCAAACCGACTTTTTTTTAAAAAATACGAAAACCGAGTGGAGCGCGAGACGACAGTTCATCTTCTTCTTCTTCCTCCTCTTCCTCCTCCCCCCCGGGCGCGGAGAAAGAAACGAGTTAATTTAACAGAAAGTTTACGGGGCCAGAGTTTCGTGTGTGTGTGTGTATATATATATATAATATGTATATAAAAGTAATGATTTCCTCTGCTGTGGCTCCGCTTTCCCCCTTCGTTTTGCTGGTCAGCCTGACGTCACGGGGGAGAGCGCAGCACAACACACCTGACGTGAAGCTGCCGTCATCCTCGCCCCCTCCCCCTCGCTCTCCCAAACAGCCAATCACCCGCGCGCACTGCTGATAGACGTATACACTGACCAACCCAACCTGCTTAGTAGAGCGGAAGTTCCACCCTTCAACTCCCCCCTCCCACCCCCGGGCCGCGTGGAGCCACGGGACAATAAGACAATAGGCTCTTCGTCCCGCCCATGCGCCGCCCTCAATATTGATCGATGTACATTCTGACCAATCGGAAGATTCAGCGCAGCAAATGCCCCCACTCTCGCCCCCGCCCCCGCCCCGCCCCCGCCTGGGATTTTGATCGACGTGTGAACAGATGCTGTAGGTATTTCTCAGTGATGACCAGGACAGATAATGACAAGTTCAGCCTCGTGTGAGGGGACTGTGTTTCCCCACAAACAGCAGCCACGATGGAACACCAGGACATAAACCAAGAGCACATTGCTGTGCGCACCAGCAGATTGCCATCAGCTTCCTGGTGGGGTTTTTGCAATAATCCAGAGATGTTTTGTCAACTCTATAATTGACCAGACCGGCTGCAGCTGCTGCAGACATTAAGCCAAAGCACCGTGATACCGTATAGATAAAGCATAGCTGTTGAATGTCCCACTGTGAGCTGTACACCAATGAGAATCCCCTATACAGTCAATTCACTTTACAGTGTGTTCTGTGAAGCGCTTTGGGACGTCCTCCCGACGTGAAAAGCGCTATATCAAATGCAAGGATTATTATTATTATTATTGTGGCTGCCAACACTGCAGCTCCCAGAACTGGACCTGCCATTAGACTGTAGGTCCTAAAGGTAACCTTCAGAGCTCTGTGCTCTTCCAGGGAACGCCCCAAAGTTCTTCCACATAACGTAAAACATGGCAGATGCAAAGACGTGGAACTCAATGTTGAACGGGTACATATAATGGGAACTGTTGTAGAAAATAGCGCAGGCATTTCTATTGCAGCTGCAATTTGATCCAGTGTCACCTACAAAGAAATGGAATGAAGCATTAACTTGAAATTGGGCCCCGAGATTACTTGGTAACAAAAGTCTACTTACTGTTGGCATCCTTAAAATATCATTGTAAATTCCTGTTTATTTTTGGTAGGCACTTTGTAATAACCCTTCAAGTCCCTATTCAAATGTATTTTCAAGTCATTTTGCAATTGCATTGCAATTTTTGTTACCAAAATGAGTGCCTTATCACATCAAAACATCCTTCATAAATGTAAATTATATTCAATCATGAAACGTCTGAAAGCACTTCACAGGTAATTGCTGTCAAGCGTAGTGACTGTTTTTTTCACAAGCAAACATGTCCGTCATTTACAGCAGCAAGATCCCAAAGACTGGCATGGGAAAAATAGCTAATCTACGTGGGATAGCTAGTTTAAAACACAACAGCAAGCAGTTTTGGGTCCAACATTTTCACAAAATCAGGGCAGGGAAGAGGGGGAGTTTACCTAATGAGCTAATCCACTGGGATATTTCCAGGAGCAGAATATCTGCCAATGTAATAATAATCACCCTTCTAATTACGACACTGAAAATCACATTCTCTCCATATTTCTATTTTTCTTTGATTCTTCATACAAAGACACCCACTCATTAAAAGAACATCTACTTTATTCACTCTATGGTTGTCTGGGACATTGCTTTGCGTAAAATTGTCTCCTACAAAACAGTGACTTTACAGTATATTCTGCAAAGCGCTTTGGGATGTCCTCCCGACATTAAAGTTGCTAGACCATTTGTAAGGATTAATATTATCTATTAGTTAGGATTAACATACTTTATTCCCAATTGAATCTCCAAATTTTTGGTCGTTGGAAGACATCTATCATGAAATGGTTAAGGCTTATGTTGAGGCAATGGAAAAGATCCCAAAATGATGCCCAGATCCCGCTACTATCGAAGCCTGTTCTCACCTAAAAACAGAAATACCTCCTGAGCTGGCACGCACCTTTCAATGAAAAAGTAGACAGTATACATTGCATTATAGCATCCTGTGAAAGGTATAATGCCTTTCACATAAAGCATGTCTCGAAATGTTGAGGATGTAATGGTGAGCACCAATAATAATAAAAATAATCCCTGCGTTTGATTTAACATGTATAATGTCAAATTGTAGAAAAAGTGTTTTACAGTAATTAAGTGCAGTGACTGCGTATTTGTAGGCAAACTCAGCAGCCAATATGTGCACAAACCATGTCTGACAAAGAGCCAGGTGGTGAATGACCAATTTTGATTAAAGCAATTAAAGCACAATCAAATAGTTATGTCAGATACATAATTTTTATGCCATGGTTCACTTGATGGAATGAATTGTTCTCATCTCCTATTATTATTCTCGCCACCTCTCTTCCTATTTTCAGGTCTCAGCTGAAGACCTTTCTTTTTGACTGCGCCTTTGGTCACCTTCTTCACCTGAGATTGGGCCCGAACCACTATTTCATCTCCCTCAACTCCTATATCCCTCTCCCACTGCCTCCAAACGTACCACCATCTCCTACCACCCTGGAAGAAGATCTCCCCGCAATCCCTCTCGATGCCCTGGAGTCCTCTGAACTCCTCACTCCAGCTCACCTCCTGCACCAACCATCCTCTGCATTTATCTCCTCCACAGCACCCTCTCCACCACACTCGACACCCTTGCCCCTATCGCCTCCCGAACTGCTCCTATTCCCGATCCTCACCCTGGTTCACCAGTAAAGATCAATGCTGATTTATAGCTGACAAGTGTTTGTGCAAGCCATTTTTAAGAAAATTGTCTTTGGGTCGAGATCAGCTTACCTGCTTTACAGTCAACGTCAGCTCATCTCATCAAAAACAGCACTTTGAAATTGTTGACATTGTTGACTTCCCTAACTACCTTAAAGACCCTTCTCTTCGATCATATCTACAGTCATTTCCCCTCTTCCCTCGATTGGGCTACTAACTATGCAAACCTTTCTCCAAAACACTCCAAGGTGCTATCCTGCATGAAGGCTATTATATAAATGCAAGTAATTGTTTTGAATGGGTTTGAGCTTGCCAGGCTGTGATCGGCTGCACCAATTACCGATTGCTAGATGGTTCTACGGACGATGTGAATGTAACTGATTTGGGCGGGAAAACAAAAACTAAATGACAATAATTATTTCAATACTTGTCCACCAGAATTTCAACCAATAGACTGGAAACAAGTAAATGTGGATGTTTTATTCAGAGTTGTAAACGTTACATCTGTCAACTATAGACACATTTGTCTGATCTTAATAAATGGAAAACGCATTAAAACGCACTGGAAGATTATCTGTATGAAAATAGCCCAATAAATGACAGTATGATAGGAGGATAAACCCTGTCACTACCTTTTATGGTCATTGATGATCAACCTATGTTAAGGGAGCTAACAAGGGCTGGTTTTAACTTTTGTGATAATTGAGCACCAGCTCGCACGGATAATTGAGCACCAGTATAAAGCTGGGGGCTTGGGCATATCTGCAGAAGGTTGATGTGGAGCTCCCGTGCTAAAATCAACCTTTTTTTTTTTGGTGTGTGACCCAAATCCTCCTACAGCCATGAGAACTTGGAGTCCAGATGATTTTATTACTTGAGTTCTTTAGGAAACTGCTTAATATTGGGTTTGGAAGACTAAAGGATAGATACTTTGGTAAGTAAACAAACATATTTTCCTTCTGTTCAAAAAATAGTCCCTTCCTGGATTGTTTCTAAATCGCACCCTACCGAAGCTACACAGTGCTAGGGTAGGCTCGTATAAAGCATCCACGGGAGAATAGGA